GTGAGCTGCTGAACAGACTCGGAGGGTTAGAGAAATGGTTCAAAAAAACATTTGAGAATTTAAGCAATAGTCCCAACAGAGTTAGATTACTGGGCAGGGTTAAGAAGATTAAAGGTACAAAATGCATGCAGTTTATTCCATATATATCTAGATATATATGAGCGTGGAATAACCTGCATGTATTTTGTATATATATACGTGTGTGTGTGTGTGAGCTGTTATATTATTATATAATATTTACACACATACACATGGCCAGAGTCTTATCTGTCAATAATTGTGTTGCTCTATTGACACCAGCTGAGGATCTGTCCCACATATTCTTATAAATACATAAGTATGTTTATATGTATATATGTGTGCATATTAATACAACCTCAGTCCTCCAAGCTTGTGTAATACCACACACCTTTTTTTTTCCTTTTCTTTTCTTTTTCCTTTTTTTTGCTGAACAAGAAACCAGGTACAACATGTCAAAGCAAATACACTCCTGTTCTCTGCAGTAGCCTGATATATTGTACCTGGGTGGTAGAGTCTTAACGTTTCACTACATACTGACAAAAACGTATTTGCAGTCAAAAAGCAATGATGGAGTTAACTGGATTGGGCTGTCAAATCTCTTTTATCGCAGGAGTAGTTCAGGACTGCAGCAGTTTTACTTTGGCCATTTTTTTTATTCCAAGACAATTCCACAAATGAGCTTCTGCTTGATTAGTGTTTTAATGAATATATCTGAATGTACCACAAGTCCACCAGCCGTGACTCGAGAGCCACAGGCTATGCTATCCAGATGCTGCCTTTGTGCTGTCAGTTCGTGGTGTTAATGTCAGATACGCTATGGGAGAAAGAAGGGGAATAGTCAAGAAATAAGCATTCTGTGAGGCAGCAATTTCCTTGGACAGAAAACTTCAGCGTCTAACCAGGCACTGGAAAGTCCAGATGGACAGTGAAGCATAGTGGGCCAGGTTCCGAACTGACTTATGCCCTGTGCAGCTCCAGTGACACCAAAGGGGTGTAATGTCAGTGTGGACTTTGACCCTTTGAATAGATCTGGATCACAGAATCCACACAGGCCCTTTGCTAGAGTTCTTGGCAGTTCTAAGAGCTGCACGGCTGATTAATTAACGACTGTTTGTTAGATACTGTGCAGATAAGAAAGGCACTATGCCTACTAAATATTATTGTGATTCCTTCGGGCAGTGAAATCCTGGCTGAGGTGGAGCAGTGCATGCTTCCTTCTGCTCCTGGACTGATACCTGGTAAGCGACACTGCACAACAAGGTTTATGGCAGTAGGGAACATTTTTTTTCCACTGTAAATTATTTTTAACATTCCACAGAACTTTATTGCATTTTGTGTTAGGCTTTATGAAAAAAAATCTGTATTTAACTTCAAGCCCTGGTAAACATCTTTGCTTATGTTGTTATTTGATTCCTTATTTGAGTATTTCGATTTAATTTCACAGTTCATATACCTTAAAGTTTTCATTTTCACACCCCTCCCCCCCCCAGCCGACTCTTCAGAAAGACAGGACTGGCCAGGAGCCTGGCCCTCCCTCTCTCTCTGCCTCCCACTGCTCGCTGCAGGATGGGTGAGGAAAGGCCAGAGCATTTCCCTTTGCTGGCTCCTCCCCACCTCACCCCCCAGTGTGCTCTCCGGAGGCAAAAAATAATCAAGATTGCCTGGGGGTTGTACACAATCTGTATCCCAAGCCCTCTGCTTTCCAACAGCCCGAAAGATACCATCCTATTGGAGAGCTGCGGGCGGGGATATGATAAAAATCCCATGCCCAATAACTCCCTTGACACACCAAGGGCTTTACAGGGTAATGGGGGTGGGGGGTGGGGGGCAGTATTGTGGGGCTTGCTTCAAAACAGAAGACCGGGGGCCTGTTCCAAAGTCTGTCTGAAATCAGGGAGAGAGTCTTTTCATTGACTTCAGGCCTGATCCAAAGGCTACTTCATAAGGTCCTACAGTACCCTGATTGGCAGGTTGAAATGTGCTGCGTGTGCAAAGGTGGGACAGAGTGGGGGAAGAAAAACCCAAAGTGAGAGACCATAAATAAATCAATAAAGCCTACACTTGGAGACAGGGTAAAATGTTGGGACGTAGACCTCTAAGTCACTTAGGCTCTTTTGAAAATGGGGTAGTTATGTCCACACAGAGAGAATTTGACCCTGTGCTTCTGGGTGCTCGGATAGGGGCAGTAAGCCTCAGCATAACCTTGAGCCCTGGTACGTGGAGAAATAAATGATTTTGATACCTTGACATATTTATCATTGTGAGTCTGAGCCAGTCGCCTCTCTGGGTTCACTCGCTAGCTCCTAGAACGGATGGAATAGAATCATGTCTGTTGGAAATCTTTCATGAATTCTCCTGCAGCTGCACAGCAAAAAGAAAGCTACACGTAATGAATTGTCCTCCTCAGATTATTCATCAGGATTTGCTGTTTTGGTTTGTAAACCTGTTGTTCGGATGATTATAAATGGTGATTTGGACAATTATGGGGAGTTTAGGGGACTCGTGTTTAACTAGAAGGCATCCCGCCGCAAGGCCCACAATGGAATATCTAGCTCTCCTACGTGTCGGTTTCCCCCATGGAATTTTGCCTCCCTTCTTCTAATCCAGAACACAGGGACATTGTAGAGGGATTATACACTATTTTCACTGTACTTTGTAAAATCCTAATTTTTCTGAGGCCTGGGTTTAAGCGGTCTGGAAGGAAAGTTTTGTTGTTGGTTTTGGGTTTTTTGTTTGTTTGTTTTGAAGATTTCATTTGCACACTTACATCCTACAACTTATTTTTGTGGGGGACAGAACCAGTTGTGGATACCTCTTTTGTGGATTAGCACTTGTTTTGAAAATGCACTATGGGCAAAATCCTCGTGATGACCTTAGACTCACAGATTCAGGCATGCAAAGAAGGACCCAATATTTTGAAAATGTTGACCAGATTGTTATTTTACCATCAAAGAATCCTGGAAGAATTACCATTTACTCTCTACCCTGCCTGGTTCTCAAAATAATCATCATTACATTGTAAAGGATTCTCTCAGAAATATATTTGTTATTCTGTTACCGAGCTTCATCTCCTTTGGACGCACTAGCCAGTCAGTTTTAGACTTGAATATGAAAATTCTATCCTGGAATGTCAAAGGTCCCAATAAATCTGGCAAAAGGAAAACATATTTATTATTCTTGAACAAAATCAACACAGACATATTTATGGTAATGCACCCCTCCCAAGAAGAGGAGGTAAAGCCACATTCAAAAAAGGTTAAAACAAAATTATATCATCCCCTCACCAAATGAAGGGCTGTATTCTACTGTTCATCTTTGTACAAAATTCCCATTGACACCAATTTCACTTATTTGTTGATTGATTTTTATGTGCTCAGTGCCATAGCAACTGGGTGGATTCAATAAATTCAATGTGACATCGCATTAAGTTAAACTTCTTGCAGTGGATAGCACATACAGCGCCCCTCCTAGTGCCCTCCAAACAACTATAAATAAACCAGCGATTACCCAGAGTCAAGCAACTGTTTGCAATGAACTCTGAAAATCTGTAAATTTGAGCCCCTGCTGATACATACATATACATACACCCATATATGCATACATATGTTTAAACACAGATGTGAGCATATGTATCACAATAACTGAGTTTTCACAACCTGTGATATAACATGCAAGGCCCTGATCCTGCAATCGCTAAAGACGTGCTCTACTGGACACTAGCGAATGAGCCGACTGAGTTCAATGAGATTGCTCACATGGTAACATTAAGCTTACACATACAGAGTATTTCATAAACTAACTTAATTCTTCATTTATGGATGTCACTCATAATGGTGACATCATTGCTCCATGATAACAAATATATTTCAGATTAAATAAACAAGTAGCATGAAAAACAGATTAATTTTTGAGTGTTATAATCTATTACCACTCAGCCTCAAACTCCTGACTAATAATAACATAATTATATAGTCACACAATGCTTCTCTATAGCTATTTAATTAACAGACTGCGTTTTATTTTATATGGTCATCCAAATTCACGGCAGTAACAGTTTTATGATATTTCACCCAAAATGAGGAGGGACTCTGGCTGCCTGACTGGGAGGCTCAGGAAAGCTTTTTTTGATCCCTTTAACCTGTGTTATATAAAAGAGCTGAGTCCTGAGGAATCATTAGTAACGTTCTGTCCTGGAAAGGAATGCTGTGAATTTCTTGGACAATGATCATGTGTTACCTAGTAGACAGATCCAAGTTGACACTGAGAAATAAAAAGAAGTGGGGAGGAGAGAAATGGGGAGGGATCTGCAAATCTCTGGCATGGCCTTGCCTGGGCTGAACACAAGCCAGAATGACCACACCGCAATGATCAGAACTGAAAAGAAAGCCCCCTTATGCTAGTAGGTGGTGATATTATGATTAGATGGTGGGCGGTAGCACCGGCTTCTGGAGCCTGAGTGATCTGTTTGCAATTTCATTCTGACACTGACACCCCGACAGACTTTTGTTTTCAAATGGCATTTGGTTAAGCAAACAGAATGGGATCCCGTTAACTTGCCAATCTCTCTTTTTTCTGCCAATCTCAGGATGGCACAGGCAGCTTCCAAAACCTCTTTAATGTGCCATCTCACATCCCTCCTCCTCCTTTTTTTTACAAAAAGGAATAAATTTCTGCAGCAGCCAATGACAGCAGTTTGATATGCATAAGAATGAATCAATTGAAATTGAAATTGACACCTCAGAGAATCAGTGTAAAAAAAAAACCAACCCCTTATATGAATCAAACTCTTTTTCTCCCTCTCTCCCCCTTACAGTTTTCTATCATTTACAACAATTTGCTATCACTAGGGTCCTGAGCAGATTGCTGGGAGTTTGGTGTGTGCTGAAAAGTCAGTGATTGGGACTGAAGCTTGTACAGGCTCTGTCTCTTTCCTAAGCACAGATCAATTACAAGGCAGACAAGTCAGTGTCACATGTGATTCACAATGTCAATTTCATGCTAGTGGTAACCATTTAAGAAAGAGCAGTGGAGGTTTTACATTTGATAAGAAATCAACAGTGTTTGTGTTTGTAAAAGACCGATCACAGAGTGTGACAGCTCCACAAGATTGCTATGGAGCATCAGCTACACGTCTGTCATGGACCTATAAGTATTTATTTCAAATGTTTGGTTTTTTTTTTTAAACCAGGATGTTGAAAATAAACTGTCAGTCTCTATTTACAGCTGTACAAGTAGAAAATACAAAGGCTTTTAGGTTAAATTGTCAGTTAACAGAATTCAAAATAGAAAAAAAAATATGTACCACGCTTGCTGGTTTATTACCCATTTGGAAAGAGGAGAATCATTTCTAAATTTGGAGATACAGATGTCTCTGTTTTGAGTAAACACAGGTTGCATATTTGGGGGACTTTTGGTGCCTTTAATGTCCTGACCTCCATATGTACGTCAGTTCATTATATATAATTTGTATGGCAGAAGTAGATAATTAGGGCCAGACTCTCATCTATTACATAAGTCTCAATCCAGACTACCTTTATTGAAGGCCATGAAGTTGCCCTTAATTTACACTGATGTAACTGAGATCAGAATCTGACCCTTACATTTTCAGCATGGAGCAAATAGAATCTTAGAAGCTAGATAATGGAAGCCAGACTCTGATCTCAGAAACATCAGTGTATATCCAGTGTACACTGAGACAATGATGTTGCCCCAGATTTACACCACAGTAAAAGAGATCAGAATCTAGCCCTTAGTCTTCACCTCCTTTCCTGCCAATTTATAGTGTTTATCCCCAGTAAAGAATCCAACAATCTTCTCTCCAAAAGAAGGAAAATTTCAGAACATTTTTTAGATGACAGCTCTACTTGACAGGCATTTATTATGGGGAAGGATGGCTTTGTGCCTAAAGTTCAGGACTGGGTGTCAGGAGATCTGGGATCTACTCCCAGTTCTGGAGTAAGTCTTCAGGGGACACAGAGAGAAGTTCTTCTGTGCCTTTCTTTTTATAGCTGTAAAACGGAGATAGCACGACCTGCATACCTTGCAGTTGTGAGGATTAATTAATCAACAGTCAAAAGGACTTTAAGATCCCATGATGGAAGAAGTGGAAAGTATTATTTGGTAGGGCTTTGCATTATATCAGAGTATAAATAAGATCAGGCAAAGTTTAGTTATGTTTTTAATTAATACTATTGGGAATGCCCATCTCTGTTCACATTAGCTCTATAATATGACTAGGAGCTGGATAGGAACTGGCAGAAATACCATGGTACTGCCATTCCTACAATATTCCAAAAGAGTGATCCCAAAAAGCGTGCTCAAAAATACTGCAAGAAAGGCAGACCTGTGGCATTGCATGCTACAAAATTGTGCTGACAAGACGGCTCAGCATTATTGCATGAAGGGAACTCTAGAGAGAAAGTGGAGCTGCTGGAATAGAGAGGATATATCGGCCCGGACCATCACACTGATGATTGCCATTGGCCTCGATGGAGTTCCATCAATTTTTCTTCAGTGGAGCTACATTGATTTACACCAGCGGAGGATCTAGCCATATAACACCCAGTATGGTCTTCAATACAGACAGACACTTAAGAGAGAGACGCACAGACACACAAGGAAATCTACAATTCTCCACAGCTCTTGGAAGCAATGGGCCCGTTTCTTGTTCAGATGTCCCAGTGTAAATCTGGAGTAAGTCCGTTGCCTTCAAAAGAGTTACTCTGGATTTACACGGGGGCAACCGCTTGTAAAATCTGGCCCAATTTTTGTATTCAAACATCAATATCTCACCAAAGGAGGTGAGGTGGCTCAGGGGCCTATGTGAAATGAGTTGGACTCAGTCAGTTCCTAGTGAACAGGTGTCACAAAACCACCCTTACAAGTGGCCCCATTGTTGGCAGTTGAGCAAAGAGGCCAAGGGGATGAATTGCCCACTCTGTCCTGGAGCTGGAATGCTTCCAATTAAGGCAGGGAAGTGGCAGTAGCTTGCACTGTCCTTGTTTGAGCTGTGTCTGGTCTATGAATGGAGGGCTTTACTCTCCAGTGCTGTCAAACCGGCTGCTTTATATGCATTAGAAGAACCACCACCAACCTGCCCTGAAACAAAGTTGTGCTTTGTATTGACTTCTTTAATGTTCTGCTAAAGTGTTTTAATTTACCTTTTCCCTTCTGTCCAGCTAGCACCAGGCCTGCCTGGGCTTCTGCAAGGGAATGCTCCAAACCCCTCTTTAGCTGCCTTTATTTTGTGCAAATTAATACTGGGGAGAGCTGGGGAGAGGAGGTGGCTTCTTCTTGTGCTATGCATGATTATAGTAGTGAATAAGTTTTCTAATCAGCAATATAGTTTTTGTTCCCTGGCTGGACTCATTAATTAAAAACTGGAACCCTTTGCTCCATGACATAAGGGTATGTATTTTTTGTAAATATAAAATAAACGCACACACACTTTTTAACTTACGTTAAAAAAGATATTGGAAGATCAAAGTAAAGAATTAGATGCCAATACACGCAGCATTGTCAACCCCAGCATTCAAAAATCATGAGTCAGGGCCCCAAAAGGCATGAGAGTATTTTTAAAATGATGTTTTCAGGTTCTTCTTTACTTGCCTTCTGGTTCGGGGGTCTTTAGGGCGTGGGACAACCACTCTCTTCACTGACACACCAGGGAGAGAACTGGGCACCTCCAGAACTACAAGCATGAACTGTCCCAGCTTGAGTTAAAGAGCCAGAACTTGGTAGCTGCAACAATTCATATATTCTCTGCAGAGCAGCAACGAGGAAGACTTGAAATTCCTAACTCACCAGTGAGTTCCAGGTGTGTTTGGGGCATGTTTTCCAGCTGTTCCGGGCAACCGTGAAATCTAGAAACTATTTTTTTTAGCTGAGATTTCCCCCAATCACATGCTGCCAGGAACAGGGTCTTTCAGAAAAAATATTGTGAGACTCACGATAAAATCACAAGAGTTGGCAATGCTGTGAAGTGAGAGACAGAGTAAGTCACACCAGGGACCGATGGAGAAGGATTTAGGCCTACATTGCCCCAAAACTGCCTCTGATATAGTGGGCACATGTTGTGGATGCAGTTGCCCTCATTCAGAAGCCTCGCAATGTGACTGCAGCGTGCAGCTTCAAATCAGGCAACGAGACATTATAATGGGGTTAGTTGTGGGTGTAATAAATTGCCCCTACAAAGTGCAGGTGCAGAATTGCAGCCACAATATTGGAGGCCAGTTTGAGCACCTAAGAGTTAAATTGATAAGTGAAGTTTGTGTCAATAGGAATTTTGTACAACAATGAACTGTAGACTATGGTCCTTTATTTGGTGACGGGTAGATATAATTTCTTGTCCCTTTTTTTAATGTGAGCTGGAAAAGTTTAGATGGTGGCTCTGATGTCAGCTGATGGATTTCCAGTTCTATGGACAGCTGGTGAAGTTTCACATACCCAGTCCCATTACATGAATGAATTTTGAATTTAACAGTTAACATTCGATAGAAATCTATATTTCAACTTTGACACCGTTTTGAGTATTAGCTGTAAAATAGGGATCGCAGTACTGAACTCCTTTGTCAAACGCTTTGCGATCTGTGGATGAAAAACATTAGACAGTTGCTAGGACTTACTATTATTATTAGCCCGCCACTATAACATGTGACCATGAATCCCAGCACACATGACACTTACCTGTGTACCATACTGGTCTGGCATATCCATCGGCTCCTATGACCACGCCTTCTGCTGAGGATTAGCACTGTCTGCAGGGCATCTTAGAAGATTCACTGTGATTTGCACAGCGATGGAAGAGGGAATCTGCATCCAAAGGCGCAAAGTTTCCCTGCTGACTCAAGCCAAATTACACCCGCACTCATCTGTTTTGTTTGTTTCAAAATAATTAGTGAGTGAATTAGGTGTTCATGCTGCTAATGAAGGATTAAGGGCCCAATTCTGCAAAATGCTGAGTGTCTCCTGGGAAATGCTGCGTACTCTCCACCTCCATCAGCTCTGAGTTGCCAACTCTCATGAGATTTATGATAATCAGTGTTTTTGTTAAGGCCCAAGCTCTTGGAGTCATGTGATTAAGGGAGACTCTCTGCTTTTTTTTTTTAAGTAAATTTCTAGTGTTTATGAAGTAAACCTTGAAAGTGTGAGCTCTAAAGACTCAAAATAAAAAGTAAATAAAAATAACCCTGAATTTATTATTTTTTAAAATGTCATGATTTTTAAACCAATTTCATGTTTTTTTGTGGGTCTGACTCTTGACATATGAATGTCTGAGGCTGGCAAGTCTGTGATCTTCGGTGTGAATGAAGTCATTCAGCACCCTCCAGATTGTGCTCAGCACCTTGCAAAATATGGTGGTAACAGTGCTGGCAAGACTCGGGCAAAGTGCAGGCAAGAGATGTGAACGCTTTCCCCGCCCCCACCCGCAGTCCTGGCCTGCAGAACCCTGGCTCTTCTGATCTCATGCACAGCATATGGACATTATTTATGTGGGGACCAAATGCTTTCCTTTGGACACAAAGACAAACTTCTTCCCTTTGATCCACATATGCAACGGCATGTCCAGTTGGATCACCCCTTCCCCTGCACTGATACCTGCCCTGCGAACACCAGAGGATCACCTCAGGCACACAGTTTAGGACCTTACCAAATTCCCCAGACCCTCCTTACAGTGTAGACATCCCTACTCCCAATCACCATCCCACACTATACAAGATGAGCGAGCAGACATCCATCCATACTGTTCTTGTGTCAACCAGCTGCCCTCCCTACTGACCTCTGTCCTAGTACACACATGCAACTCCATTCTGATACACTGGACTAACCTTCACCCCATCTACGCTACCCTCTCCTAGAATCAATATAGACACTGGCTGGGCTTTCCAATGGGAGTTAGGCACCCAATTCCCATTGACTTTCAATGCCTCACTCCCTGAGGGCCCTTTGGAAATGCCATCCACTAGCAATGACTTTCATTCCCATGACCAGGAGCAACTTGGACCAAATTCGACTCTCAAGTACACTTGTGTAAATCCAGAAGAGCCCACAATTTCAAGGGAGTTACTCCAGATTAACCCTGGTGTAAAAGGGAGCAGAATTTACCCCTTACTTCAAAGAGACATACAGGCATTCTGAGGGCCCAATTCTCCTCTTCATTACTTCGGTGTAACACTATAGGAGCCAATAGCTATGCACCTGTGTAAGTGAGAGGAGACGTCAGCCTGAGTTTCTAACCTTCGTGCTACGTACACAAGCCCCTCTCCTCAGAAATGCAAGCACACACCCAGCTAACCTTCACCAATGTAAGCACATTCAGGCACTCAGCTATTCTGTTGCTTTCTGTATATTTGTTGGCTCCTCAAAGACCTTTATTCCACAGAGCTCCCTTGTGGCACTACACCCCAGAGCACACACAAACACAAACCTGCACGCCTACAGTGAGCGCCTACAGT